TACATACATACCTACATACATATGTAAATACAGACAGAGATACGTATGTGTGTATGTGTGATAATATATATATATATATGTATATATATATATATATCGACTGAATGTCGCAAGGCCAACACCCACAGGTTTCACCCCGCTGCCGGTGGAGAACTACAGGACCCTGGCCCTGTTAACGGATTCACGGTGCAAGTTCTTTTGCCTCGAGTGCAGAGGGTTAGGAGATTGATTTTGATCTTGTCGGGTGCTTCACGGCAGCTTCCGATGTGACTTCCTATCTGGATCTACAGTCTGCTGCGAAACCGCAAACAGGGAGGTTGGCTGGTGAATTGCTACTATCTGCATTTACAGTCTGTTGCGAAACCGCAAGCTGGGAGGTTTGGCTGGTTAATTGCAACTCCTTTGCTCCTCCCAAGCTGCATCTTCTGGCCTTGCCGCATTTCTTGCTCTGTTCTTTGCCCTTCGAGTTCCTCTGCTGACACCTTATCTGGTTGCTGAATTCCCTCGGTTGCTGAATTCCCTTTTTCCCTAGGCTTGGCCGGGCGCAACCCCCCCTGCAGAAAGCATGACTTACTGCACGAGCCTCGCCTGTGAGTGGACATTTGCAAAATGATGGCACAATCATAGCACCCCTCCCATGAAGGCGTCGAAACATCTCAGACAGTGTGCAGGCTCACTCAGCCGATCAACCGCTCCGTTATCCGATCTTCAGGTCTGGCTGCCTGTTGCTACAGATAAGATGATTGATCCGGGTGTCAACGGCGTACATTCGAATGTTGCCGTCAAACGGATCCACAGATCGAACTGGAAGCTTGCAGTCCTTTTGTGGCATAGTCTGTTTGGGGCATTCTGCTCCTGCCCGTGACTGACTTCGCATGGTTCTTGACTTGGAGCTGGAGTCGTTGCATGGTTGTTGTTTTGCGGGATTGGATGTCTGAAGGGAGAATCGAACCCTCAGAAAGGAAAGTCCGAACACCCACATGTCCCTAAACCCTTTCGCTTGCTTGCAGACACACTAACTGCTACCTCTCCAACAACGCTCCTCCTCCACTCCCCCTGGAGGTCTCATCTCTTCGATGCAGAGGCCTGGTAGGAGAAACTTATGCACATTGATGCTCAACGCAGACAGCAAGCATCATTGAGGCATCATCATAGTCCCAAGACCTGTCCCGTCTGCCACCAGGGAAGTCTCGCCGACGGGCTCTCCCAGCAAGGCTTCGCTGGCCCGACTGACAGCCACTGTGTCTGCTGCCAAACAGAACACAGGTCGAGTACGTACCGGGTATGTGGTGGACCTGCTGATAGGGAGTTGTCGTTGGGTGTCGTGAAGGACTCGCCGTTAACAGCAAACTGTTGTGGCAGAGAATCACTTGAGTTCGTCTAGTTCTGCCAGGCACACACTAGACATTGAAGTCAGAATTCTGTACCTCATGGGGTGAGGGCCCGCGTGAGTTTTGAGATGCTCGGTGCAAGGCGCATGTTAAGAGCTGTGCAAGGGCTTCTGTCCAACAGGGTGTTTAGGTGTTGTTAACTTTGGGTGTGCGCAGGTCATCTGATTTACATTTCCGATGGTCCTTGTAATTTCCGGCAGATCGCAAAGGAATTCGACTCCAGAATATCCCGTGAAGAAATCCGCACTTTGTGGCGGTTGACATATGCTTGCCACAGTTTGGGGGCCAAACCCTGAATCCAACACGCTGGATGTGACGGATCCGAAGCTAAACCACCGAGCCAAAGAAACTGGAGGTAGGAGCAATCTCTGGCTCCTACTCCTTGCAGCTGCCGCCGAAGGCATCTTACCCACAGGTGGGATGTCGGAGTCGAGCTGTTCTTTTGAGGTTTAGTCCCGGTTTAGCGTTGGAGCTGGGTTTGTGGTTTGCCAAGGATGTCCATGGATGGCAAGCTGAAGCGCACTCGCCTCGTCAGACAGTTAAAGTTAGATGGTCTTCGGCAAGTCAGCAAAGCCCGAGCAGACATATGTAAAGATTCAGGATGAGCTTCGGACTTGGAGTTGATGCATATTTTGGGGAGCGAGGATTCAGGCTGTCTATAACCTTTAACCTCCCCGAACTCTAGATTTAGCTCGCGGTGTCGAGAACAGAAGCTGTGGAGAGTGCAGACTGTTGCATGGGGTTTTTGAGATCAAGCAGGGAGCTCCAGCGATTCCGCACTGAAGGGAGTCCTACGAAAGGGCAACTCATTGTGGAAACAACACTTGTGCGTTACTTCTCCAGAAAGAATCAGAAACCCTGAGTCCTGGATGTGACCTTGGTAAAAGGTGCCGCAGCAGAGCCTGCTTCAGCCGACCTTAGCGGCTGCTGCTCAGCATGGCGCAGCTTGCATGCTTAGCTGTTTGAAGAGCTACTGCGCCCACTTTCTGTAGCAGAACTGAAATTTCGCCCAGTGAAAGATTACAACATTGCTAGCTGCTAACTTTCGGCTTCGGGGTTCTCGGGGACGTCTTTGCAGTCTTCGGCTTACAGTTCAGTCGACTGGTTTTCGTTGTTAATGATCTTGCGACTTTGTAGAGTGCAATTTGTTGGGAGATATCATGAACTAGGCTCGGTCGTCGATATGAATCAGTACCAGGATCATATTGAGCGATGGTGCGGCTTTTCCATTCATGCTCGGAGTGCATTGCCGGTGCTTCTGCTGAGTCTTACTACGTACTGTGTGTTGCTGTTGGTGCTGTCATGACTTCTAGACTCAATGTTCATGGTTGCTGTACATGGCAAGGTTCGCCTATCCCGCTCACAGCATTGGCCTCCTCCCTTGCAGCTGCTGTGATGAGCTCAGTGCATTTGATCGTTTGGGTAGTCTGCCTGTGAGCGGTTTCCCGCGTGTGTTTTTCGCAGCGAGGCTTCAGGACATCAAATTGCGGTAACTTAGCGTCGGTGATACCTGTTTCTTTGGACACTGGCATTCGCTTGAGACGATTCTGAGTTCAGGATTTGCATTGTAGCGGACCTGTGTAGTCACCTCAATAGTTCGTCAGGTGCGCACAAACATAGCATGTGGAACCCTCGGGACCTTTACCCTGAGTTACTGCTTTTCCGGGAAGGCTGTTGGGACCATGTTCGAGGACCAAGGAAGAGACGCTGAGGTATCATTAAGAACATACCTGCCCTCTCGCCTGTGTCCTTTCCATGATGCGGTATAACCCAAGTGTATACTTTGCCTACTGTAGCTATTTCTTCAGATGTGCATTTGCCGACCTTGCCTTAGCGTCGGGGTCTGCTAAAATTGACGACGTGTTGCTATTGTGTTGGGGTCCAAATGACCAAGTAGTGCCCTCAATGCTAAGATGCTTTGTTGAAATTCGGGCAGGACCGAGGCGATTGTCAAGATTTCTCAGAGGGCCCGGGTGTATGCACATCGTTGAAAGCTGTTCTGTGCCCAACTGGTTAGTGTCTGCATAAAATGGACCCACAGTCTGACCCGCAATATAGTTCCTGCTGCAATAGGGTGCTTATCAGGGCCATTTGCTGAGGACAAGCCGTGTTTCTCGCAGCCAAGTGCCCCTGGAAGGAGTCAGCGGCTCAGCCGGGGGGAAATGCCATCCAGGACGCATGGCTTCGGATGAGCTTAGGGTTTTGTGGGTTTCCAGGTTCCAAGACTGAAGGCTCAGAACACAAGCAGTCTAGAGCTGGCTCCCCAGACTGCAAACGCTATGTTGCTGGTCGTGTGCTGTCGCCCAGCAACAAAACGCGCAGGATTCATGGCTTAGGGTCCGAGCCCCGAACGCTTGAAGGCTCCTCCAGAACAGCTCTGCCCATCTTCGAGGGAATCAACTCTAAGGGTCCCATTGACTTTTCATGCCTGGTGGCACATGCAGCCGAAGCCACTCTACTGGCGACTCAAACAGGTTCAGAAGCGATCATGTCGGCTTGGCCTTTTCCCGAAATAGCACTGTCCTGGACAGCAGCACTTGGGCGATGTAGCGTTTTCGCGTGCTTAAGGGCCTGCATACTCAATTATTCGACACGTTTCTGCGGCAGAACCTTTCAAGACTTTCAGGCTCCTAGATTAGGGAGCTTCGCAAAATCCACTGGCAAGATGGACGGTACGTATTTGGATCGTATGTTGGTGGTGCAATCATCAGCTGGAACAGTTTTCGCAAGTGACACTGCATCTCTAGCGCTCTAGCCGCAGGGCATGCAATGGGCCGCTTCACCTCTACCCTCCAGAAGTGCGAGGACTTGGGGCATCGGGGATTGAAGGAACTACCCTGCATCACCGCCTTCGGAACGGTGCTGGATCGCCGTGCACAGGCTGCGCCGCCTCCCCCTCTGACGCCCGAACGAGCATCAGGCAAGAAAAGAAAGAATCTCGCAGCTTTTTCTCAGAGTGTCGAGAAGGTCAAAACGGGCCCGTCGGACAAAGTCGAGAACCCACCATTATCGAAGAGAAAGAAAAGGACCAAGGCTCGGAAGTTCAACAGAGAGCTCTTCGACCTTGCTGTTCAAGCGGCAGAGCAGAAGCGCGCCGCTTTGGTTGGAGGCTGGCGGAGTCTCGGAAGAGGGCGCAAGAGGAAGGAGATCGACCCGAAGGACTTCGCCGATGAGGAAGAAGGTCGCAGACGTTTTGAGCGCAGCTTCCAAGACTGGCTTCAGGATCGCGGCCTCGAGGATTGCCTGAGGAGGGATGCAAGGAGGGATCCTGCTGCCGAGCTGGGTATTCCAAGCAGGCCTTTCATGTACTTCACGTACAAGGCTCCGAGTGCGAAGAAGGGCCCGACTTGGGCTTGCAACGCGCGGATAAGGCCGCGCCGTGGGTGGAAAAGGGCTTATCATGGGACTTGGTTCTACGGCTTGGCCAGCATCTTGCAGCATGGAGTGCTCTTAGAGTCAGTGAATGAGGATGCTGGTCATGAGTTCTGGAAGCCAGGTCTCTACCTGACACCGAATCTGGGGACTGCGACCTGGTATGGCAGAGCGCAAAGAGTCTTCGAGGATGACATGTTTCACCGAGCCATCGTCGAGGTGAAGTACGACCCATTGAAAATGATGATCTATCGGGAGCGGGGTGGTGGGCAGATCGTGGTGACGAGTGCGGCAGCTGCGATCACCGGCATCATCATTCAGCCCAACTCTCCGCCAATGAAAGGAGAGGAGAGGAGTGACAGCTGGAATAGACAGCTGGAGGTGTGAATCGTTGACTGTTAGGTTTCAGAAATGAGGACGTCTGCTTCGTGGCCTTCATATAAGCTCGATCTTGGCAGGATTCTTTTAAGGAGGAGACCTACCTGTCCCTACCTGAGGTGTGAAGGTTGCCGGTTTCTGACCTTTAGGAGGGCTTGTTCGAGGTCTCTCAGAGCGTGTGACTGGCCAATATAGAGGCCTGAACAGTTACAAAAAGTATTCCTTAGGGTCCCTTCTATAAGTACACTGTAAAGTAGCCCAAAAGCCTAGCCCGATTGCAATGATTATGGCCCCTGCATTACACCTTCAGCTCACACTTCGGTGCAGTCTCCAGGGCTTCGGTTTGGAGCTGTTGATCAGGCTGGAAGACATGAATCCTCGCCACATCATGAGGGGCCGGAGGTTGAGCCACCAGCCCTAACCCTAACAGCCTGGGCCTAGGCACTTATAAACACCCTAAAGCCGCTCAAGCGTTGGAGACTCAGAGGCGTGGCTGTGCCGCTTGGCACCCCTCGCACCGACATCCACAGAGGAGCTCAGGCGTTTCGAGGGCTTAGGCTTGTAGGGTTTAGGGTTGAGGAGGGTTGCAGGGTTTGAGAGTCACGGTGCACGGGCGTCAGCTTTGATTGGAGCTTCAAAATCCATTTGAAGGGTCCGGGGTTGAGGATAAAAAACTGACAGTTTGGGGCTTCATGGCTTGCGACGTTGGTTTTTTGGGGCTGTAGGAGTTCAGCTTGTTGTTTAGGCGTGCAGGCTTTTCGGGCTTACTTCAATTCTTTCGTGATCGGACATTGTCTCATAATCGGAGATTTCGAAGATCGCGGTCAAAGGCATTCAGCAGGCAGCGGAGTGTAGTCACAATTGGAGGAACCTACAGTTCAACGTTTGGGTTTCAGCAGCGGTAGATTTTCCGACCGGGTATCTTAGGGCTTTGTGTGCCCGATAAACACAGCAACCGTTGTCAATTATCGGTCTTGTCTGCCAAGCACGAAGCCGGGGAGCTTGTTCTCCCTTGCAGCAGTCCCGACACTCTTTAACTCCTACCTTGCAAGCTAAATCGACTGCGGATTCTGGGTCCGACTCGAAAGCCTGAGCAGGCGCAACCATGTTGGCCATCGGCACCTGCCACCCTCCCTGCGCAGTACCGCCAGATCACGCGGCCCGACACAAACCGGGAGTGGTCAGGGTGCAATGTAGCAGCCAATACGAAGATTTAGTGGTATAGGCATAGGCTAAGGGCGGGTAGCAGTCAACATGTGGATCACAAATGTGGGGCTTTAGCTGCTGAACTTACATCGCAGCCAAAGCTCTCGGGTTCAGATTCAGGGCGTTGGCAATGTGCACTGTAGGGCTCAAGAAGGTTCACCAAGCAGGAGGAGGCACTTAGTCTGAGCATCCACAGCGACATGCAAAAATCAGGGCAATGACAGCGGTGGCAGCAAGAGTGATCAGTGGCTAATAGCCAATTCGCAAAGCTCGTAGCTTTGGCAATTCTGTTGTCATTGTGAAAACAGTGACTGACATTACCAATGGACATACGTGGGTATGACAGTATAAATCAGTATAACAATGACAATAATCGATTACGGCAAAGAACCTACGGCCTAAACGCATCGCCGTCTTCTCGAAACAAAGGCAGGGAAATTCAGGCGCACTGGGGTGTCGTGGGTTTCGGGAGCTGAAGACCTCTGCAGTCGCTATGCCATTCCGAGCTGTATGCCCTAGGCCAGGGAAATTTTGTCAGAAAAAAACCTCAGCGTATTGAAATTGGCACGAATCCCCGAAAGGGAGCATTGCGAGCATCTGCTGCCCAGAATTTCTAGAATTCTAGCAACTGTTGGAGAGGCCCGTGCCACCCACAGCGCGAGCATCATCAGCATCAGCTCCCCGTGCCCTCGAGGCTTCGCGTGCACCATGAGCATCAGTCAACAATGCTGTCGAGGCATCGAGACTTCAAGCATCATGAGCAACAGCTGCCCACACCTCGGAGGCATCGAGAACACGAGCATCAGCTCCACACGCGAGAGAGTGTCGAGACTGCTGCACCATCAGCATCAGCTTCCCATGCCAATCAAGGCATCGAGAGAGCAAGCATGAGCACGAGTTGCCCATGCCACCGAAGGCATCAGCACAAACATCATGAGCATCAGCTCCCCATGCCCTCGACGCCATGCGAGCATCATGAACATCAGTCGGCCATGCCCTAGCGGCATCCAGGCCCAGAGCGCAGGGATCATGAGCATTGTCACCGAGAGCACGCGCGTCATTTGCATCACTTGCCCATGTCCTCAAAGCCACACCAGCATCATGAGGATCGGCCTCTCTTCCCATGCAAGCATCGAGAGTCTTAATGTCAAGTTCCTTTTAATAGAACCCCCGTCGCCCCGCTTCGGTTGATTTCAAGCCCCGACCGGGACAGTTAACGATTGATGGGGGTGTCGGTGGTGGTGGTAGTAGTAGTAGTAGTAGTAGTAGGAGTAGGAGTAGGAGTAGGAGTAGGAGTAGGAGTAGGAGTAGGAGTAGGAGTAGGAGTAAGGGTAGGAGTAGGAGTAGGAGTAGGAGTAGG